ATTTTGGACAGGGGAACGAGTACATCGAGCAATAGGGAAGGTCAATGATGGGAAGGCAACTGGGCCGAATGAGCTGTAGATCCAGGCGTCGAAGTGCCAGGAAAGGACGGGCTCCTTTCCTGGCACTTCGACGATCACCGGAGGAGTGGATCACCATGTTTCTTAACTCTACCACTGTTAAAAGAAGAATCATGAATGCGTGGTGGGGCAGAACTATCGTACCCATATTCGAAAAGGAGAAGGTGCGATGGAGTGCTCTGTTCTTTGAGGAATCTGACTGCGCACACGATGACACTTCGCGAGCGGTCAGTGGAATTAAGTTTGAGGGAACTTGTATTTATCTTGCAGGAGCAAAAGAAATGTTATAGAAAGGTCCACGAATGGCATTTTCATGCGAAGTAACTGGTGGGAAAGTATCTGAGAATTATAGACTTCGTTACCCAATCTTCTACGATCTATAGAATACCTTCTTCTGCGAGCAGTCCCTTGAAAAAACGTTACGGAACACCTGGCCTCCCTACCCGAAGAGCTAAGTACGATAGGTCTAATCAAGGAGTAGTAGTCTACTTATCTTGGAACCTTGAATGGAGACCCAGATGAATCGATAGAGTTTCAAATGCTGTTTATGAAAATGGAAATTAAAACCTCAAAATGGTTTTTTTTAAAAAATTAGGGGGGGTCCGAATTTTGCTCGACAGTAGTATCAATTGGATATGCGAACTCGTCGCCTCGATATCAAGTGCCCACGTGGCCTAGTGGTTGTGGTGTCGCTTCATGGGCGTAAGATGAGTGTTTGCTCCCCGCCATTCTCCGCATTTTTGCAGAATGTTTTTATCATTTCATCAAGGGCTCCCGAAACTTTTCTGACATTTTTTTTTGTGAACACCTCATTTCTGCTTTTATTTTCTCTCGTCGTCCCTAATCAATGAAATTCGAGACATTAGGCCGTCAAGGGAGGCAGTGAATTTCGAGTCATTAGGGAAGCGATTACGAGAAGCTTCAAAAAAAGTGGCGGAACGTGAGCAAGATGGGGTCTCTTCGAGGCAAAAGAAAGTGATGACAACATAAAAAACAGCGGGCTTCACGACGTTGCGGAATCAACGCTCGAAAAGGTGACTTGGTCTCTGAACTTTCATAGGCACACAAGCAGGAACATTCCTCTTGAGATATAAAAAAGCTTCGTCTGAGAGACCTTGTTCACTGTATGCACGGCATAGCAATATTTTCCAGCTTCTGAAGGTTTTCATATTTTCCAGCTTTCTTTTCAGAAAGGGAGAAAGGAGGGGAGGAGAGGAAGAAACCGGTTTCAATGTCGTTGATGCAATTGTTTCAAGACAACAAACTTCGCACGCAACTCCTCGTGC